GTTCCACAGAAGAAAGGTCTGGCAATCAGCTTCCATAACAATTTCAGCCCAGAAAATTCTATGAGCAGTTCTACTCTGTAACACATGGGATTGCCATCAGTCAGAAGCAACTGGACAACAACTACCAACAACAATAACCACCACACTATAGGAGCTGTTGGACAAGGCAGAGGAAATAATACAAAACAGCTCCTGAATCCAAAGGGATTATTGCTGTGAATAATCAAAGTTATACAAGCAGTCTCTTAAACTTTAATATTTTATCCCCATGATTCATAGAAATCAAGTCTGTATAATCAATATTAAAAATCAATATTATGGGAAAAACTACACATGCTATGTATTTTTAAATGTTGTGCTGCCTGGAAGGAGTGAGAGAACTTTCTGTAAGATAGCGTTTACAAGCACCGATTAACATTTTAAATCTTAAGTACAAGAATAGAGGTCATTACTTTGGCACAGAATAAACAAAAAAGAATAGAGAGCTAGCATGCACAAGATACTGTGAATAAGAATACATAGGCTGAGCCTCTACCTGCATAAAGGAAACTAGCAGTGCGCACAAAGGAAAAGTAGGGGAATGAGGAAAACACAGCACTGCCCACGAATAACAGAAATGAAAGACGGCACACAAGTAACACGAGCATGTTAACGAGTATGGTAAGACAGAGGCGAGAATAAAGGAAGCAGGAGGCTATGAAAACACTTTCCAAGTTTAAATGTGTTGTGTCAAGAAAAGGCTTATTATTGGTATTAATGGTATTCACATTCTAAGCTCAATCACTGTGCACTTGCTGTATTTAATTGCCTCTGTCCAATTCCATTATCCTTTGTTCCTACTACTGTTGTCAGCTGTAGTGAGTCAGCTTCAATGCATGGCAACCCCATGCACCAGGGGATCAGACCATTGTGGTCCTCAGGGTGTTCATTCACTGATTTTTCAGAAATAGCTCGCTAGGCCCTTCTTCCTGGTCTCTCTTAGTCTGGAAGCATCACTGAAGCCTGGT